CACGATACGACGACGACGACGACGACGACGACGACGAACGACGACGACGACGACGACGGACGACGAACACGGCCGGGACTGGCTGGCTGGCTGGCTTCTGGGTGACGTTCTGGCTGGCTGGCTGCTGGCTGTGGCTGGCTGGCCGTCCGGCAGCCTGGCTGGCTGCCTGGCTGGTTGGCTGGTTGACCTCTGGTTGACGTCTGGTTGACTTTTGGCTGGCTGGCTGGCTGTCCGGCTGCGGCTGGCGGCGGCGGCGGCGACGACGACGACGACGACGACTGCGACGACGCCGACGCCGACGACGACGACAACGACGACGACGACGACGACGACGACGACGACGACGACGACGACAACGACGACGACGACGACGACGATGACCAAACCACGATCACGGCTGGTTGGCTGGCTGGCTGGTTGGCTGGTTGGCTGGTTGGCAGCCAACCAGCCGCCAACCAGCCGCCAACCAGCCGAATGGCCGTGGGTGATTCGTGGTTGGTTCTGGTTGGAAATGCGGCCAAAACCCGTGTAAGTGGTGCTCAAAATACACATGTTTTGCCCGCATTCTGGTTGGGTCTCGGTTGGGTTTTGGTTGGAATTGGGATGAAGTTGCTCTTACACGTTGTAAAGCCTCCCCCTCGTCCAGCGCCGATCCAGCGAATCCGCGCGGGGCTCACCCAGACCCCCGACGTCATGATTTTGTTCATGACGTCGACCCCCAGAGTCGGGGGAGCGTAAGACCTGGGTTTGCCAGGACTCGGGTTCGCCATCGTTTTTTGACGACTGCGCCTCGGATTTTGACGAGGAGGAGTTTCGTGGGATGTCTGCAGCGGGAGGCCTCGTCAAAATGCAGGCTCGGCCTCGTCATTTTTTTGACGACCTCGTCGGGGATTTCCGAGTCCCCTGTACCCAGGTCTTACGTCCCCCTGACAGAGGTCCGGACCCATTCCCCGGGGCCGGTTCTTCACCCTGAGTCGTTTCTTGAGAAGGTCCCGAGGCCCGCCGGGGGCCCCTGCAGAGGCCGAAAATCGCCCACAGCCGCCTTCTCGTGTTTTTTTCACTCGTTGGATCTCTGGGCAGGGAAAACTGATGTGTGTGCGATGTTTCGTTCCTATAGCCATGGCCCGGGCTATTCGGCCATGCGCAGAGGGGGGTAATCAGGGGGAGGGGGGAAGGCTTCTCAGAAGCATCCCTGCTCCTTCGAAGGCGCGGCCCTTGTCTATAGATGCAAGGCTGGCGCCTTCTAAGAAGCAGCCTGTTTCTGCGAAGCCTCCCCCCCTCCCCCTACCCCCTTGTGTTAAGTCGGGCCTGTCCCTCTACAAGGGGAATATTCAAAGATAGCTTTAAACACGGGGGCGATTGTCTTATTACTTATGAGCATTTTTGGATCATTCGCAATTCCCCTGTATGGGGACACGCCCGACCTAACCCTACCCCCTTGTGCGCTCCGCCAGGCGCCAAGCTATGACATCTCCCTGGCTTCCTGGCACCCTCCTGCTTCTCCTCCGACTCCAGTACGTCCCCTGGGCCCCCCTCGGCCGCGCCCATGCCTTCGGCAGAAAGAATCGGGGGGGGGGGGGGGGGCTGGCATGCCCTCTCGGTTCCGATTTTTTGGCGTCGATTTCGCGTCGGGGCGTCGATGAAATAATAGCGCCGATTTAGCGTCGGCTAGCGTCGATTGGCGTCGATGTAGCGTCTGGGAGTCGATGAGAAAGCGCCGATTCAGCGTCGGCTAGTTTGCGTCGATGGGCGTCGGTTTAGTGTCGACAAGCGTCGATGAGCGTCGGTTCACAAGAGTCGACAAGCTCGTACGGGAGGCTCCCCTGAGTTGCCACCGAACATGCTTCGGGGCAAGATTTGCTAACCCCCCTCTCGGACGGCCCCCTCTTGGATGCCCCCGAGCCAGAGGTCCCTCGCCCACCTGATCGACCCCGCGGTGATGCTCGGCTTCGACTTCCACCACGCGGCGCCTGGCTACGTCATGCTCACGAAGTGGCTCCCGAGCGGTCGAAGGAGAAACATCTGCGCACAGGCAGAAACTCTCGGAGGTCCGCGCGGACGTCCTGGATCGGCGCGGACCCCCTTGGCCTCACTGAGGCTCCCGTCTGTGCAATAGAGATAAATCCTGACGAAGGACCCAACCATATGCAGTTGTGGGTAACGCAATTGTTGGCATCGTCTTCGGTGGCGCTCCGTATGGGGCACGAAACGTGTGAGGGGTGCGTGCCAACATGGGCGCGGTGGTGTCATGCGAGCGCAGGCACTGGGGCCTTCGGTGGAGCTTCACACGGGGCCACGAACCATGTGAGGGGTGTGCCGAAATGGGAGCGGTGGTGCCATGCGACCGCAGCCACTGGGGCCTTCTGTGGAGCCCATGGGGCCACGAAACGTGTGAGGGGTGTGCCGACATGGGTGCGGCGATGTCATGCGAGCGCAGCCACTGGGGCCTTCGGTGGAGCTCCCCATGGGGCCACGAAACGTGGGAGGGTGTGCCGAAACGGGTGCGGTGGTGCCATGCGAGTGCAGATTCTGGGGTCTTCGGAGGAGCTTCCCATGGGGCCACGAACCCTGTGAGGGGTGTGCCGACATGGTCGCGGTGGTGTCATGCGAGCGCAGCCATTGGGGCCTCCGGTGGAGCTCCCTATGGGGCCACGAAACATGTGAGGGGTGTGCCAAAATTGGTGCGGTGGTGGCGCAGCCATTGGGGCTTTCGGTGGAGCTCCCCATGGGGCCACGAAACGTGTGAGAGGTGTGCCGACACGGGTGCGGTGGTGCCATGCGAGCGCAGCCACTGGGGCCTTCGGTGGAGCTCCCCATGGGGCCACGAAACGTGTGAGGGGTGTACCGAAATGGGAGCGGTGGTACCATGCGAGGGCAGCCACTGGGGCCTTCGGTGGAGCCTATGGGGCCACGAAGCGTGTGAGGGGTGTGCCGAGATGGGTGCGGTGTTGTCATGCGAGCGCAGCCACTGGGGCCTTCGGTGGAGCTCTCTATGGGGCCACGAAGCATGTGAGGAGCGTGCCGAAATGGGTGCGGTGGTGTCATGCGAGCGCAGGCACTGGGGCCTTCGGTGGAGCTCCCCATGGGGCCACGAAACGTGTGAGGGGTGTGCCGAAACGGGTACGGTGGTGCCATGCGAGTGCAGACGCTGGGGTCTTCGGACGACCTCCCCACGGGTCCACGAGTCCTGAGAGGGGTGTGCCGACATGGTCGCGGTGTTGTCATGCGAGCGCAGCCATTGGGGCCTCCGGTGGAGCTCCCTATGGGGCCCCGAAGCATGCGAGGAGCGTGCCGAAATGGGTGCGGTGGTGTCGTGCGAGCGCATCCACTGGGGCCTTCGGTGGAGCTCCCTATGGGGTCACGAAACGTGTGATCGTGGCTCAAGTGCCCGCGCACAGGGCGCATTCAGGCGCTCTCCTTTTTATTTTGTCACCCACACCTGTACAGTCTGATGCCTCCCTGCCAGGTCTGCTTGAGCCATGGGGTGGCCGGCGAGGCGGTCCTGGGCTCGCCCTTCTGCGCTGCGCACGGGGCTGTGGAGCTGAACGTGCCCGCTACTGCGCAGCCGGCTGAGGTCACGGGTCTGACCCAGGCTACCAGGAACCTCGAGATCGGCGTCTCCGACCAAGTGGCCGACGTAGAGGTTGATCAGGATGGCGCGTCCCCCGCTCTTGTTCCAAGCCCCCCTGGACTCGAACCTCTGCCGTCCAAGGCTTCGTTACTTCGGGGCTGGGTCGAGCAGGAGATACTGCACCACTTCGATTTGGTCCAGCCGATCGCTGGTGCCTCCATCGACGCGCAGTCGCTCCCGATCCGGCTTCCCACCAACATCGCGGAGTTGCAGGCCATCCTCCTCAAGATGGGCTACCACCCCGACGCCCAGGACACGTGGGAGCTTTTGGGGTTCGCCAGGATGGAGGGCCCCAACCCCACGGACGTGGACATCTTGGCGCGGGGCCGCGCTGCGTACACTCTCATCTCCCTCTCCTCGGCCTCCGACTGGCCACAGGACGATGCAGTGCAGGCCAAGGTCCTGCTGGGCAAGATCTCCGCCGCTGTGGCGCGGTGCGAGGTGGAGCTTCCGCAGGTGCTCAAGGAACGCCGCCGCTTCCGGCCTGACCGGCTGCCGCGGTTCAAGGAGCTGGGGAAGGAGGCGTTGGCGGCCATCAACGACGTCGTGCGGACCACGCACGTTGAGATCTACACGCAGTGGTCCGACGTTTTGCTCGCTGGCAATCCTGCTGCGCGGCCTCCAGCGGAGGCCCGCGCGTTGGCGGTCAAGGCGGAGAAGGGCAACGAGACACTATGGGACGACCTCTCGGGGAAGTCGGCGGTGCTCTGGGTCCCCTCCGACAACAACTCGCTGACCCGCCTCTTGGCCGCCTTCCTGCGGCGCTCCGCCCCCGCCTCGCGCCCCGACAGCGTCATATTTGTCTCGGATATCCCTATGACGACGGGCTTGAACAGCGTCTCCAACATCACCGACATTTGCCAGTTCCCGCTCTTATCCGCCACGTGGCTCCCTATCGTCAGAGACATCGCATTCATCCCCTTCCCGTTCGAGGTGGTCCTGCCCACGATGTCCGGAATCCCCCGCGTTGGACGTCAGGGCTTGGCTCTATTCTCCTTGCGGTTCGGCGGGCCCTGCACCCCCCCGAGGCTGATCAACATGGCCCCGCTCTTCCAGCTGCCCGAGGTCAAGGCGGTTACGTTCGATCTACTCGTGGATGGTCTCCCTCAGTTCCTGTCCCTGTGCTCCCTCCCACTCCTGTCCGGCGCGGTCCCTCGCGCCCACCGCAAGAGCCTCCTGAGCACCGAGGAGACGCCTCGCATTTCGTTGGATCTGATCTTCCCGAGCCACCTCACGCACTTCGACCTCGTCACTACGCTCAGCGAGCTGCGCCGTGCGCATCTTCCGGGCTCCACCTTCTTTGGCCTTCAAGGGTTGGCAGCCGCCTCCGACACCTTCCTCCTCGAGTGCAACGGGCATGGAGTTTTCCACCACTATTGGCCCTTGTGCTCGCAGGTGTTCATCTTGGGTCCGACAAGGTTCCTACTGGTATCTGACGCCTCGGCTGACTCCTGGACGGCTACCATGGACGACGTCTGGTTGCAGGACGCCGCCAACGCCGCGACGCGGCTGAAGCACCGCCCTTCGCGATTCGGTGGTCGAGTCATCGCCGCCCCTGGTGCTGTGGCCCCCCGCACTGCTGCCGCCAAGCGCCGCGCAGGCAAGTCCCACTCCATCTCGGACTACCTCGCCGAGATCAGAGTGCAGGGCGAAATCGGGCTCCAGGACAGCGAGGTGCTGAACAGGCTGATGCAGCACGCGGTCGCGTCGACGGGGCTCCCATTGTCCCTGGCCTCCGACCCCGACAACCTCAAGGCTGGGGAATACGTCCCTGTGGACCGCGGCCGTCTGCCCGCCGCTGGCGGGGCCATCAAGGTGATGGTCAAGAACAAGGCTGACATTCACGCCTTGCACGCCGCCCTGCACAACAAGGCCATCCAGGTCGGCCAGGACCTCATCCACATTAAGGTTGGCAATGACATGTTGGAGCTGGACATCGCGACGGGAAACATCCCCGGGGCACGGGGCTAGGTGCCCCCCGTGTCCCTGCCGCCGACAGGCACCGCTCATGGGGTGCGAGGTCCGGAGTTGACCTCGGAATTGATTGCATTGACGAGTGGGGCTACTCGGGTTTCGCCGTGTTCGTCGTCTTCCACGCCCACGTGGACGGCTCTGCGCCCTCCGCGCCGTCGTGGTCAGACTGCCAGCCTCCGGCTCCCATCAGCCTTGACTCTTCTCGGGGTTCCTCAGAGTGTTTTTCTGCCCCTCGGTTCTCTTCTACGCCTTCACGGTGTTCTCGTGCGTCGCCATATCCTGCACCCGTTGGGCATGCTGCTCACCGTCTTCCTTGTCTGCTATTCTCCGCCGACGAGGTTCTCCCCGCACAGACGTTTGACCGCGCCACTCTCGACCTCCCAGTCCACGTTGACCGCCGCCTCACGCTACTTCGCGCTGTTGGAGCCGTGCCCGCTGACCGGCTTCTCCCGCCACCTCTGACGCGCCTTCCGGCGCCCGCCGCCCTTGCAGCAAATCGCCGTGGCCAGTGCACGGGGGATTTCTCTGTCACGACTTGGAACGCCCAGGCGCTCTTCGCTACGGACGTCCATCGCTTCGAGGCCAAGAGTTCCTACGTCAACAAGCTTATGCTGAAATCTGACATCTGCCTGATCACCGAGGCGCACGGCTCCGAGACGAGCAATTCCACTTGGCGCGCCCCTCCTGGCACGACAGCTTGGTGGTCGGAGGGGGCCTCGCAAGGACAGGCCGGGGTTGGGGTGGTTGTTCGACGCGCATTTCTGCGACAGTTCACGGAGCAGCCTCGTTGGATTCATATCTGGAGAGGCCGTGCTGCAAAACTTTGTTTACGCGGCCCCCTCGGTGCGCTGGACATCGTCGTCGTCTATGCGCACGCGGGCAGCCATCGCGCCCCTGCAGATGAAGATCTTCACGGGGTCCCGCCTTCCCGGAGACCCGCGATGCATTCCTACTTTGATCTTCGTTCCTTGCTCCGCTCCAGAATCGGAGATGTCTTAGCTCCCGCTGAGGACTGTCTCACGATCTTGGCGGGGGACTTCAACTGGGTCACGGCCGACGTGGACAGGACTGCTCCGGCCACCATGACGCCTTCCGGCGCCCGGGACGCCCGCGACGAGAACCATGTCAAGGCTGTGATTGGAGATCGGTTTGGGCTCGCCGAGATGCATCAGTCTGAGCACACGCACGCGTCTTCCTCGGCCCGATCTCGGCTCGACCGCATCTACGTCAATTACCACTTGTCCGACCAATTAGACAGACACGTGCGCTGCTCGGCATTGGAATGGCGCCACGATTTGTCCCATCATCGAGCGGTCTTCTTCACCAGGTGCACTCCGCAACATGGCGATGATGATGTTCGGCCACTCGCTGCCTCCGCTCTGGCGGCTCCGGCGTTTTCTCGCCGCGTGGCTCTGGAGTATTACGAATCCTTGAAGGAGTCCCCGGATGCCAATGCGCTGGGGCGCCTGCGGATTTACAAGACCGCCATGCGGACAGTTGCCACTCGCATCGAGAAGGAAGGTGGCGTGCCGGAGCCGGCTGTTCATGCGGAGGACCGCCTCGGGGTTACCATGAAATTCATTCGCGCTGCGGAGGCGGGCCGCCTCAATGTGATCTCGTCTTGTCTTCTACGCTACCCCTATCTTCGGGAAGTCGTCGACAACCCTTACCGCATCGATGGCAATATGACGCGCCATCTCCGGGGCGCTCGTCTTCGCGCCGTTCAGCTCGCTCGCGAGCACGCCATCGACGAGTTGGGCCGCTCCCACGTCGACCTCGCGAGCGGGGGCGATTTCCGGGCTGCGCATGCGCGGCAGCGCAACGCCCGCCTCATCTACCGGCTGGCGCCAGGCCGCGCTGGCGGCGTCTCGGCGGCGTTGCAGCCTGACGGCGAGGTGGTCACGCACCCGGATGCGAAGGCAGCGGCCCTGCGCCCCCATTGGAAGCAGATCTTCGCGGACAAAGGGATCGACGAAGCTTTGCTGCAGAAGTGGACGGAGGACGACGCTGACAGCCGCCCCTTGGCCGACTCGGTTCCGTTCGACCTGTCCAGGTTTCGCCTTTCTCGTCGACACGTGCGCAAGGCCATAGAGAAATCTAACAACTCTTCCCCGGGCCCGGACGGCATCCCATTCCTAGCATGGCGACGCGACGCAGCGCTCTCGACAACCATCCTCTTCGACGCCTTTCAGTCCCTCTCGTCTGCCGACGGGGTGTCCCTCCTGCAGGCTTGCGCCGGCGATTTCAACGCCAGCCTCCCTTTTTTCTTGCCGAAGAAGCCTTCGGGCGTGGGGCCAACAGGGGATGGATATTACGAGCCTGCCAACGTGCGGCCGCTCGACGTCACCAATTCGGACAACAGACTACTGGCGAATGCCGTGCGGCTGCTGATCGAGCCGGTGGTGGGGCCCAGGGTGTTGGACATTCAGAGAGGCTTCATCAGCGGACGTTCCATGTTGTCCAACCTTGTCGACATTGACGAAGCTGCGGTTTTGGCCGCCTGCCAGTCGGGCGAGGCCGGCGCCATCTTCTTCGATTTCGCCGCCGCCTTCCCCTCCATCGCCCATTCCTTCCTCAAGCATGTCTTCGAGTCCCTCAATTGGCCGGCCTGGCTCCGGAGCTACATCGACGTGTTGTACCAGGGCAATTTCTGCGAGATTGTCATGGATGGCGCCCGTTACCGCGGGTTCGGAGTGCATCGTGGCATCCGGCAAGGGTGCCCCCTCTCTCCCCTGCCTTTCGCGGTCGCCGCCGACTTGTTGCTCAGACGGCTACGCCGTGACCTTCCATCCATTACTCTGCGGGCTTACGCCGACGACACGGCCCTGGTCGACCCGCAGCTGCTGAGGCACTTGGCCCCCCTCGAGCGCACGTTCTCGGAGTACGCCCGCGTGTCCGGCCTGGAGCTCAACGTGGGCAAAACAGTCCTTGTCCCACTCGGGGGCTTCAGCCACTCGGCCATTCGGGCCCGTCTTCGCGATGACGTTCCTTTGTGGGGTGCCTAGGAGATTGCCGACTCGGCGAAATACTTGGGTTTTTATGTTGGGCCTGGGAGGGGGGCGAAGTCATGTAGCGGAGTTTTCAAGAAAATGGAGGAGCGGGCTTCGGTCTGGAGGAGCGTCGGGGCCGGCATGATACACACCGTGGAGGCGGACCAGGTATTCATTGCTTCGGTGGCCGCTTTCGTGGCGCAGTTGGACCCCCTCCCCGATAACTTCTCTGAGGTGGAGACACGGATTGTGAGAAAGCTCTTCCCGGGTCCCATGAATTGGCTCGCGCCCGACATCCTCAAGTCGTTGCGCTCTTTTGGTTTTCCTCGCGATTTTGTCGACGTCAAGGGCATTGCCGGTATCGCCAAAGTTCGGGTTGCAGTTCACGAGGCGCATCGTTCTGGAGGTCTGCGCGTTCTGCCGCGCGCCGCGGCCCTACGGACAATCATGCAGGAAACTGGCAGCGCCGCCCGCCTGGGTGCGAGGTATGGGTGGGCAGCCTCGTCTTTCCTCTTCTCCCTGGAGTTCGCGCTGCTGGAGTTCACTGCCAAGGGGGCGGCTGCCCAGGCGCTCCTCGACCCGTCAACCCAAGCTGGGCGCCGGGAGGGCTGGCAGGCTCGTGCCCGCATGGCGGCGCCTAAACCCCGTGCTGCGGCGATGGAGCGGGCGCTTCGGCGCCGCCTCGACCACTGGCAGCTCGATACTCTTCCTGGCCACCGGTGCCGCAAGATACTGTTCAACATGCAGCGTATCCGGACGTTGGTTCCCCCGCGTGTGCTCTCCACGGTCCTGCGTTCGAGCCTGAACGGGTGGATGACGGCCCGCAGGTTCCAGGGCACCGGGCGATGCGTTATGGGGTGCGGCCGGGCCGTCGACTCGCTGAAGCACTATTGCCAGTGTCCTGTGTACCATGGGCTCTGTTGGCAGCATCTGCGTTTGGAACGTCCTGAGGCCGCAGCGGCTCTGAGCGATTTCCTCCTCATCTCCCCCTCCTCTAGACAGTTGCGCGCCGATGAACCTCCGCAGGGCGGCCCAGCCGCCGCTGCTCTGCGGGCCCTCAGTGTCTTTGCTTTGTACAGCACGCATAACGCGGTGCGGCACGGCAGCGATGGGGAGCGGTGTGCTGAGCTCTTCCGCGGTTTTCTGCGTGAAGGTGCACGGGGCCATGGGCCTGCGGCCGCCTTATTGTCTGCGGTGCACAAGCGCCGGCAACGCGGGTAGCAACTTATTCCTGTCCTCCTCGCGTAGTTTTTCGTCTGTGCATCCTCCTCCTCCTAGAGTTTCGCGCCGCGTGGGCGGCTTGTGATTTGTTATGATAGCTAGGGCACCTGTTGCCATCCCCTCCCCAGGTCTTTCCGGGCGAGGCCCTCCTCGTGTGCCGTCGCCAGGGTGCGCGGCTTAGCGTGGCGGATTTGGCGGGCACTCGTAGTGCTCCTCCTCCTCCTCCTCCTCCTCCTCCTCCTCCTCCTCCTCCTTCCGTATTTGCGGGCCGTAATTCGTGACATTTTCGTTGCGTGTTGCCGCCTCCGCAGGCCGTTTCTTCAGTTTTGGGTGTACTGGCCTATCCTCGATGTGAGGCCCGTCCCAAGCGTCCGTAGCCCGAATTTCGGCCACGATCGCAGGACAACCCTGCGGGGGCTTGATGTGTCGTCGTCACGTTTGGCGTCGGCCGGGAGCGTGCTGCACGGCCGTGCACGTTCGCGAATAACTGCCCTAATTTCCGCCCCTCTTTTCCTCCTCCTTCCTCCTCCTCCTCCGTGGCCGGCGTCCTGCCGCGGCCACTTAGCTAGCAACCCAGTTTCGCTGATCGTATCCTCTGGCCTGCGGCCGGCGCAGGGGGAGGGGGAAATACTTTTCTTGTAGCGTGAGCAGGCTCCCTTTCAGGCCACGGTTCACTTCATGAGTTTGCCTATCGCAGGTCGGCTCTTGGGGTGCTCTTGGTTTGCCTGGCGAGTCTTTCAATCACATGGCGGCTGAGGTTGTGTAAGTGATATACAAGTCATTTGCTTGAGAAAAAATAAAAAAAAACGAAACGTGTGATCGGGTGTGCCGACATGGGCGCGGTAGTGTCATGCGAGCGCAGTCATTGGGGCCTTCTGTGGAGCTCCCCATGGGGCCACGAAACTTGTGAGGGGCGTGCTGACATGGGTGGCGATGATGGTGACGATGACGGCGATGATGATGACGATGACGGTAAGGTGGCGATTACGATGATGGTGCTGTTGCTGCTGCTGATGCTGATGTTGATGTTGCTGATTGTGATTATGATGATCTTGTTGAGGATGGTGGTGCTGATGATGATGAAGATGATGATGAGGAGGATGCTGATGAAAATGATGATGAGGATGAGGATGCTGATGATGATGTTGCTGCTGCTGATAATGATGACGATGATGATGATGATGATGATGGTGATTATCATGATGATTCTGATGATGATGATGATGAGGAGGATGATGATGATGATCGGATGGGGGAGGGGAGGGCGGGAGGTGAGGTGACGCCGGGCTTCTGTCTCTTCAAAACGAGGACCCAACACCACAGGATGGTTGGGAACACATCTGGACGGGTTGGTTCGATACATCTGCAGAATAGACCCCCTATCTCTAATGTTTTTGGCCCTTCTAACTGAGGTCCCCTCCCAACGGGTCAGGGGCCATTTTTTGGTGGCCGCGGCCGCGGCCCAGCGCGGGTCCAAGAACTCCGCGCGGACCTCTAACTGAGCGACGCAGGAAAAGGGGGTCGTCTTCACCGACATTGGCGCGTAAGCTGTCCGCGTAAGGTCGCGCGTAAGCGCCCTCGTCTCCATTGTGGCGTGCCGCGCTGGCGGCCCGCGTAAGCCACTGCGTAAGGTCGCCGCGCCATCTCGCGCAAGACCCGTTTTTGATCGTCGCTCACGTGTTATGTGCCGCATACGCCTCGTCTGTCCTCCTCATCGTCCTCCCGTCCTCCCCCTCCCCTCCCTTCTCCTCCTGCCTCTCTTCGCGCCCTCACCCTCCTCCTCCTCCTGCTCCTCCCCCTTCTCCTCCTCCTCCTCCTGCTCCTCCTCCTCTCCTCCTCCCTCCTCTCCTCCCTCCCTCCTCCTGCTGGCTCCTCCCCCTCCTCCTCCTCCTCCTCCTCCTCCCCTCCTCCTCCTCGCTCCTCCTCCTCCTCCTCCTCCTCCTCCTCCTCCTCGTGCCATCTCGCGCACGACCCGCTTTTGGATCGTCGCTCGCTTGTTTCTGCCCACGCCAGCTTCTTTCCCTCTTCGAGAGCACGCCCTCCTCGCTGCCCGCGCACGCGCACCACCAGGTTCAGGAGGGAACGAAAACACACGCACACAGACACAATTCATCGTCGATTCCCTAGAAAATATGTGAACATATGGGAGTTGGGGGAGAGGCGAAAACCCAGACAATGTGGGAAAATATGGGGGGTCCTGTTATCTGTGCTTATTTTTATGTGTGTGTGTGTGTGTGTGTGTGTGTGTGTGTGTGTGTGTGTGTGTGTGTGTGTGTGTGTGTGTGTGTGTGTCCCAGGGCCCCCTTCACAGGTGGGCGTCGGCGGCCTCGTCCTCGACGGCGGCGGCCGCGTCCTCTGCGTCCGGGAGAGGGCGGGCCCGAGCGCGGGCCTGGAGGCTCGGCGGATGCGAAGTAAACACAAATCCCCAAATCCCCACAAACCTGGCACCGTACGTGCAGTGCCAGGGGCGGCGGCCGGTCTTCCCATCTTACCATCATAGGAGGATGCGAAGTCCCTGAAGACGGGACGGGGTGGGCACGAGCGGGCATCATAGCCGGCTCAAAATCAAAAGAGGCATCATAGCCTCATCAGTCTAGATTGATCCACTCACGGATCCACTGCAATTTATTTCCATTGAAGTCATTACATGCGTAGCATGCTCACCCCCTCGAGTCATGAAAAAATCACGACGGGCGGTTTTCTGTATGTTTTTTGTTGGCCTCCGGGGGGGCCCCTTCCGGGCCTCGGGAGGGTCACGAAACGACGCAGGGTGAAACGCCGGTCAGGGGGAAGGGGTCGGGACCTCTGGGGGTCGACGTCACGGCAAAATCATGAAGTCGGGGGTCTGGGTACGGAGTGCCTGGTCTCCATCTAGGCTTGCTCTTTCTGGACTTCGCCTATCCCGGTATAGGTGGCGAAGCCCATACGGAGTAGATGTAGGCCCATGCGGAGTGCTCGGTCTCCGTCAGGGCTTCCTCCGTCTGGACGGGGGCTCTCCGGAGACTTGGCACCGCTCGGACGTGTTCACCTGTTCTCGGCGAGGACCATCGGGGAGCATCTGGGATCATCTGGTGAACGCATGCAGGCACGAAGTCGAAAGATGCACGAGGAATTGACGTCCGAGCGGTGGCAAGGAGAGGACTTCTGGAAGCTCCCGGGCGGCTTGGTGGACGCCGGCGAGGACCTGGGCGACGCGGCGGTGCGGGAGGTGCTGGAGGAGACGGGCGTGCGGACCGCGTTCGAATGCGTCGCCACGGTGCGGGAGTCGCACTCTGGGCGTTTCGGCTGCACGGACCTCTACGCGATCTGCGTCCTCCGGCTGGACGGCTCGTACGGCGGGGAGGCGCCAGAGCCTGCGCCGCAGGAGAGCGAGATCGCGGCCGCGGAGTGGCGGGACCTCGGGGCTTTCCTGGAGTCCAGGTACTACCAGAAGGGGCTCTACGGCTCCCTGCTCAAGACTGCGGCCGACGTGGCACTCCGGCGTCGCCGTGGGGAGGAGGACCTTGGCGTGAAGCGTACTCGCATGAGGGCCGGTAGGAAGGAGGAGTCCGTGTACTATGTTGGCGGCGAGCTATTGACCAAAGCACGGCTGTAGCGCTGCGGGAGGAGCGCAGCATTATAGCATTCACCCTTCTTAGTCCCCCTGCCGCTCCTCTTGCTCCTGGTTCCCGACGCCACTCCCGCCCCACTTGTTTGCCGTGCTGTCCCGTCCCAGCGTCTGTCTCTCCTGCCGTGCTGCTCTCTTGCGCACCTCGTGCTCGCTCCTCTTTGGAGGACGCTCCACCTGCCTCCACACAATCCTCCGTGTGCTCCTTCCGCCCCGTCAACCAGTGTCTGTTCACTGGCATCATGTCCGATGAGCTCTCATCCATGGCGTTCCGATGATGGCCAAGGATCTTGATGGGTAGCCGGCGCACTTCTGCGCGCCTCCTCCACCCCTGCAGGTGCCGGCCCCCTCTCCGCGTTCCCGTGCACCCGTGTGCTGACCATGCTGGGCCAGGCAGCCGTCTGGTGGGAGCAGAGATCCTCCAGGGTGCATGCAGTCGGGTCTGATCGGTGGGTCGGCCTGCAGAGTCAAGGGTACAGTCGGGGCGCTGAAGAAGGAACCCTTTTCGTTGGGGAGGGGCTCCGTGTTCCTTGATTGTTTCACAGCTTGCCTCAGGGTTTCCCCAGGTTTTCGATGGGAAGTCGAAGCTTAACTTCTGGAGGAAAGGGGCCTCGTTCCTTATTTAGGGTTCCTCAGGTCGACGCCCCGACTGTACCCCCTTGGCGCCCCGTGCATCGCATTTTGCGCCCTTGCCTCGCCTGGAGCACGGCTTGCCCTCAGAAGAGGCTTGCGCCGCCTCGGACGTCATCCGCAAGACTCCCAGACTCTGCAGTCGATCTTGGTGGGCGAGCACGCGCGAGGGGGCCGCACTGCCCCAGGAACGCAAGCGACACCAGGCTCGGCACGCTGGACAGAAGGGCACCCTTGATTCAGCAGGGCCGACCTCCTGATCCAACTTGACTGTATGCTGTACAGTCGGGGCCCTGAAGAAGGAACCCTTTTCGTTGGGGAGGGGCTCCGCGTTCCTGAAGTGTTTCGCAGCTTGCCTCAGGTTTCCCCTGTGTTTTCGATCGGGAATCGAAGTTCCACTTATGGAAAAAGGGGCCTCGCTCCTTACTTTCGGTTCCTTAGGTCAACGCCCCGACTGTATGTGATGCGTGTCGCCCTTCCGCGTCCGCCTCCTCCATGCTCCCCTCGCCTTCCCCCTCGCATCCTCGGCCCGCCCGCCCTCCCTCCCGATGTGTTTCGGCTCCATCCGCCGCGCCGGCAGGGCTCCCGAAAGCATCCGCGGCAGCCGGCGATGACGGACATCTTTGCGTTCCCGGTCGCGGGGGAGGGGCCCCTCCCTCTCTTCCTCCGTCCCCCTCTGCCTCCCCCCTGCTCGCCTTCCCGACCCCCCCCCCTTGATTCTCCTTTGTCGTGGTCCTCCTCCTCCTCCTCCTCCTGCTCCTCGTCCACTCCTTTCCCTGAACAATGATTTCTCCCTGTCGCGTCCCGAGGTTAGTTTTTAGGGCGGGCCGGGCGTTTCGCCTGAGACGTCTTCACAATTTGTGATTCAGAAGCTCAAAAATTGGCAACAGCTTCACAGACGGAGGGCGGGCCGTTTTCAAAATGTGGCTCTCGCCTTAGCACCGCGCACATTCGTTTTTCTCCTAAATTGCAAGAGCTTCATGGATTGAGGGCGGATGGTTTTCAAAATGTGGCTCTCGCCCTAGCGCTACTCACATTCGTTTTAAACACTTGCAAGAGTTTCACAGATTGAATGCGGATGGTTTAAATTGTGGCTCTCGTCTTAGCGCCGCGCACACTCGTTTTAACAATTTGCAAGAGCTTCTCGGATTGAGGGCGGATGGTTTTCAACTGTGGCTCTAGTCGCAGCGCCGCGCGTATTCGTTTAAACATTTACAGAAGCTTTACGGATTGAGGGCGTTTCCTTTTCAAAATGTGGTTTTCGCCTTCGCGCCGCGCACATTCGTTTATACGGTTTTTAAGAGTTCCACACGTTCCCATGATCAGCGCACCAGAAATTTTGTCTTAGAAGGATTCAGTATTTTGAGGGTGCAATGATTACGTTGATTCGCGGAGTTGGCGTCCCAGGGATGGCTTTGGGGCACGATCCGGGGTTGTCAATACGCAACAGTCAGGTTGATCGGTGGCGTTGGAATCCCAAGATCAATGGGTTTACATGCTTCAGGGTCTTCAAACGGTTGTCTTCCAACGAGGCAGCTCATTCAGTGGAAATGAACCGTTGTAGAGGCCTATGAAGAGGAGCTTGGATGGATGGTTTACTCCAGTTCGTTGGTGGCTCTTGTGTGCTTACACGGGTCCTTATATAAATCATTTCTGCCTGTCGCACCTTGGGGCAAATTTTTAGGGCAGGCCGGGCGTTTCGCCTGATACTTCCTTACCAGTTATGACCCTGAAGCTTGAAACATGGCACCATATTCACGGATGGAGGGCGGGTCGTCTTCAAAATGTGAATCTCGCCTTAGCGCCGCGCACATTCGTTTTACACATTTGCAAGGCTTTCGCGGATTGAGGGCGGGTGGTTTTCAAAATGTGGTTCTCGCCTTAGCGCCGTGCACATTCGTTAAACATTGGCAAGGGTTTCACGGATTGAGGGCGGATGGTTTTAACATGTGGTTCTCGCCTGAGCGCCGCGCGCATTCGTTTTTAAACAGTCACAAGAGTTTCACGTATTGATGGCGGTCCTTTTTGTCAACATGTGTTTTTTGCTTTAGCGCCGCGCACATTCCCGAGAACAGTATGCTGGCATTCTTCAGGGTCTTCGGACGGTTGTCTTCCAACGAGGCAGTTCCTTCAGTGGATCTGAACCGTTGTTGGGGCCTATGAGGAGGGAGCTTGGAGGGAGGGTTTACTCCAATATCGTGGATGGCTCTTGGGAATACACTGGTTCTCCGCGAGCACCGGCGATATGCGGTCCAGAATCCTTATGCACTAAGGGGGCCAAACGAAACTCGAAGGAGCTAATTCGGCCTGCTTCTTCTCACTCACCCCGGCTCCCCGACCGCCTTCTCACACGGTTCTCGCATGGCTATACCTCGCCACCCACACTTCTCACAGTGGCTGGACTTCGCCGCCCACCCTTCTCGCAAAGGGTCCCCGTCGCCTCCCCACGGGACTTCGGATGCGACTCGCCTTTTCGTGATGCGTGAACGTGAGAGACGGAGGAAACATCGCACTCCCTCTGGCCGATGCCTAGTGCCTTTTTCAGCTTTGCCGAGGCGTCAACCCCGGCCCTCTGAGCCGAGATGTCTTGAGCCTTACACTGGTCCTCCTCCTTCTCCTCCTCCTCCCTCAAACCCTCCCCCTCCCCCTTCCTCCTCACCCCCCTCGTGCTTCCTCCTCACTCCCCCTCCCCCCCCTCCTTTCTCCCCCCCTCTTCCCAAATCCGCTTCACCACAGCGTGGTTAGCAGCGAATTTCCCCTTCGGGGGGCCCAGGCTGCCCATTCCTGATTCCGGTAGATGTTCTGACGGCCCCAGGGCACGAGGCGGGGCTTCAGAGGAGGCCGAGCACTCAGAGAGAGGTCTTTGAACCTCGTCGTAGACCTCGGTCCTCCTCTTAGCTGCCCCGACTTGGGCGAACAGTGGTTGCAGCACCCCACAGGGGACAACAAATGACAGAAGCAAGTCGCATCCGCAGCGGCCTCGTGGTAGAGTACAAAGCGCCAGCACTTGGGAACAAGCAGGGTGGCACGCAGGGACTCGCAGCTCCGGTTCAAGCTGTAATTCAGAGCTGCTCCGAGGACCAACGGGGACGATCCTCCGGCCCCTCCTCGGTTCTCCTCACATCGTGGATCGTATCCAGGGGCGATCCTTCGCATATCTAGTCTCATGAACGTCCGCGTAAGAATAAACATTCGAAGGTACTCGCAAACTTCTACAGTCGGAGCTGGACCAGGGGCGGCGCCGACGCGCCGCCAGAGGGGACCCAACACCGATCCAAGAAATCAGCTCGGACTTTCTAGCGTCGATGCTTACTGGCCCTCGGCAGTTGCGGACAAGAGTGAGAAGGGGGCGCCTGGGCTGCCCTGCCGGGGCTGCGGTGCTCGAGCGCCGGGTGCCACCGTGCAGGAGCCCGCCAAGCAAGCGCCGATGTTTCGGAAGCGATCAGCCTGCAGCAGGCGCCGACTCGTGTGGCAAAGCAATGCGGGTGGGGCGCGGGGCGGGGTGTCGGCGGATCGCCAGGCTCGGGAGCCAACGTAAAACAGCCCGCCGCCAGCGTCGATATTCTGTCATCCCAACAAGCCAGCCGCAGGCGGTGCTTTCGTTGAATTCAGTGCGGCCTCGCCCCCCCCGCCCCGCCCCCCCTCCGCCCCCCCTCGGCCCCAGACCCCCCCTTCTGCCTCGCGCCCCCCCTCGCCCCCCCCTCGCCCCCCCTCGCCCCCCCCCGCCCCCCCCCGCCCCCCCGCGCTCCCCTCGCTCCCCTGCCTTGTGCCCCGAGGTCCTGGGCGGCGCCAGCCTCCCCCCGCCCGCCGCGGCGCCAGCGGCCTCGCAGGAGGCGGCCGCGACCCCCTCGGCTCGGCTGCCTCCCGCAGCCCTCGTCCGCCTCGCGTGCGCTCTGCCTCCCCTCTCCCCTCTTTCGTCTTCCTCCCTCCCGCGTCCCCCCCCCCTCCGCCCTGCAACTCCCCGTCCCTCCCCCCTCTCTCTCCTCCCTCTTCCTCCCTCCTCCTCCCGCCTCCGTTCCTTCCCTCCTGCCTCCCTCCTTCTTCCTCCTCCTTCCTTCTCCGCCTCCTTCTTCTCTTCCTACTTCTTCCTCATCCTTCATCCCTCCTTGCTTCTCCTTCGTCCTCCTTTCTTTCCCCTCCTCCTGCCTCATCCTCCTTCTTCCTCCTCCTCCTTCCTCCTCCTCCTCATTTCTCTTCCCTCCTCTTCATTCCTCCTTTCTCCACCTTCCTCCTCCCACTTCCCCCACTCCTCCTTCCTCCCCTTCTTTCCCTCGCCCACTCCTTCCTCCTTCCTCCTCCCACTCCTCCCTCCTCCTCTGTTTCCTCCTTCTTCATCCCTTTCCCTTTCCTCCACCTCGGAGAAGGTGGCGTCGGCCGTGGCCCTTGCCTC